CCAGTTTTGTCGGTTTTCCCTGACTTGTATGTAAACCATGAGAGTAGGAAACTTACCTATCCTTTCACCACTGTTCACTGGGGCCAAAACAGTGCCTAGCACATAGGAGTTAGACATTCAGTAAATATTTGTTGAATGTATAGAGGAATAAGAACAAGGTCACAGGTATGACCAAATAGGTTGCTGTGAACATTTAAAGATTGTTGAATGTTAAGGAGCTTCGGGAAGAAAGGCCAGAAATCAGCCAATGGAAACTCTATGGATCACAATGGTCCAACCCACAACCGGTCATGGAGACAGTGCAAGACCCAGCAGTGTTTACATCCATCGTGCATGGGGTCGTCGTGAGTTGGAGGCCAACTTGGCGGCAGCCAATGACAACGAAAACAAGGAGCTTTGATGCCAGTTTTTTTACACGGGCTATTTTCATGGATTTTTAATTTATCCAAGGTGATGACAAGAGGTCCCGGAATCTCTAGGTTATTTCATGTTCCATTCTTTTCCCTTTGACCAGAATAGAACAACTTCCTTTCTTCTTTCCTAGACTCCTCCAACCCTATCGAAAGATTCAGCTGAAATGTTACTTCATTAGAGAAGACTTCCAATCTGTTCACTCTGTTTTTATTTTGGATTCACCTTGATCTCTTAACCCCCAGGCATGATCTCTCTCATTGCACATATCAGAATGTACGGTGACTATATTACCCTTCTCCTCCACAAGATTGTTAGCTTATTAAATACAAGGACCATACTGAATTCCTTATAGCCAACAATTAGTAAATGTTGACAAATAATATATTTTACGTAACATTTTTATATTTATGCTAAATCCTATTTGTTCAGAGTATCTCAGACAGAGGTCACTTTTAACTCGAATTCTTAAAAGTCCAAAGACCCACATACTATCATGTATGCCCCTTAGATCACATTTCTGTTGTTTATTGCTTTTTAAAAAATGTTTCCCATAACTGTGCTACACTTAGACTTTTATAAATACTTTGTAAGATGCATTA